CAAGGTACTGGTAGAATAATTCGAGGTAAACTTTTGTTCTTATTGTCGGTGCATTTGTCAACAAGCTAGGGTTGATTGCTCTTGCGCGGGTCGTCCCAGGTTGTGACCCGGTTAATGTGGTCGATATAGAATATCCTTCCTTTGGCGTCGGTCTTCTCTTCCCAACCGACTGGGAGTGGGGTGGCACATAGTGGCGCTGCGTCTAAATCACTTCCCGGAGACGAATTTCGTGTGGCATCTTCTCTCTGCTGACAAATGTACTGCAAGAGCGCTTCGCAATAAAGATCGCGAGCATCTTGGTTTGAAAAATTCAACCTTGCTGTGGACTTCCAAGGCATCGTATCATGCTCGCCTCGAGGTGTTTCGGCAGTTGATCGTCTCCCCATTACAAGAACGTTTGGAGGCTTAGGACTGCAACGAAGAAGTGTTAGTATTTCAAAGAGCAATAAACATGTCAAGAAGTTTTTGAGGTACTCACTCACGAATCCGAATCGTTGTACCAGGTGAGATCCTTTGCGTCTTCGGATGCATGGCAGGGAAATTAGTACTCGCGGTGGTAGCGTGGAGTCGATCGCTTTCCTATCGTTGCAAGGTGACAATCAGCAAAGCGAACCAATGACATGGATAAACTGCCACGTACTTTGTTATGGTAATCGGTTATCCGACGATTCATGTTGGCAATCCGAGCTTCGTGTGCGGCACGTTCTTCGCGCATCCGTCTAGTAAACGTGCTCAGTGTATCACTTCGCGGCGTTCTAGAAAATATTGAGCATAGCTGTTAGTCACCACCGTTGTCCTGAGACCAAAGCAGAAGTTCACTTACGTTGGACTACCACTCTGAAGTTCATCAACTTAATATCCACAGGGACCACACTGTTAGTCGATGAATATTCCGCTAAAGCAAAGCTTTATAACACGAACCTTTTCCACCGCAGTCAATTCCTGCATGTGTGTACGCTACCACGTGTTGAAAGCGTCGAAGCTCTGCTTGTGTCTGGAATCTACCGCCAGCGTTGCGCTCGTCGAAAGCACAGAAGCCAGCATGCGTGGCACGATTCATGATTTCGATGCTAGAAGTATAGTGATCCTTTGAACGCGAGTCGATCAAGTTACGCAAAAGATCTTAAGTTCTCCTTTGAGTCTAGGATTAGAGCTACTTTGACGCACCATCGCACTCGTCCCCACTTCACGTTCACTATAAATACGTTCTTCGCCACCTTGGTTACTCGTACAGGATTGGTATCAGCACAAACACAATATTCTATGCGACGACAACTTACCCGTCGAGATAACCACCAAACGCATGAAAACCATCTCAGTGGTTCAATGGTTCTGGAAGCTCCCTTTGATTTAGCTTTATACACACCTGAATATACGCAGCTTGATTCATCAACCAAGAACTTCCGTGACGGTGACGCTGCATGGACACGATTTCTAGCTACCAGACCGTTGTTGTACCTCCCTAATCGATCTCCGATCAAGGATGAAGACCCGATCAACCGCCACCGTCGACTTTGGACGCACCAAGAGCTCCAAGATTTTGGAGATGCAGTAGAAGAACGAACCCACGCTCAACTACGATTACAAGAACGCACTTTGCGTCGATGGAAACAGTCTGCTACCGATATACAACGCTGTTTCAGAGGCATGCGCGACAGGTTGTACGTGCTTCGACTTCGGCAAGAATTGTTTGAACACGCACTCACCTTGGAGAGAGCTATGGAGCTTGCTCGCGAACAACGAAAGCAACGCAAGGCTGCTGGTGTAATCCAACGCGAGTATAGATGTCACCGCGAGCTGGTGATGCGTCGACAACGAACAGCAGCTATATTGCAGGGTGTGTTTAAACGCTTCATGCATCGACTTAGGCGATGGCAGGCTGTATTGGTAGTGCAGCGAGTTGTTCGTTGTTTTCTGTGGAGATCGCGTTGGCAACGATACAGACAACAGGTGAGGAAAATGTTAATTGCAGCAGCAAGACAACAGCAACTTGCACTGGCGACGGAAACTTTTCAGCGAGTACGCGAGAATGTTTTACTTCAGCGTCAGGCAGAAACGTGGAGTTCTCATTCAGAACGAATGCAAATGTTGCTGCGGGTACGCCATCGCAAGCAGAACCTGCAAGTTTCTCCTTCATGTACGTGTATTGTTCCCCCGCTTCAACGTATAGCAAAGTGCAGTATACCACCAAAGCGTAGTAAGAAATCGACCAGACCTGTCAGACAACAACAACAGAGCTTACCATCCATCTACTCAGCCAGTCGCGGAGAGTAAGCTTGGTGTTATATAGATTCCAAACTGATTCTCAATGCCTATCGTAGTCTGACTCGCAGCCCCTGAGCTGATGAAAATACGATGATAACAAAAAATGTAGAACCCTGAAAACATTTTAGCAAAACTCCAAAATATTCCAAACCATTCTTCACTATTTCGAGTAACCTGCTCGAAGGCTGCCACAAACTCGGGATATAGCGTTGGCTACAGGACAAGTTGAATGCCCATTCGACTCGGATAGCATATCAAATCTTTCGATGACCACATCCAGCAGCATTGGTGGCAACCAGTTTTGGTGAATGAGCCAAAATTGTTCGAGATGCTTCGCAAAACGTAAGAGTTCTGGACGATGCTCCTGCTCGGTAGACCTCGCAAAATCCACTTCTTGTGATGATCCAACGAGATCACTCTGCCCATGTATGTTGAGTGCCGTGATGGCTTTCAGGGCTTCGCAGAAATTATCCATATTTTCTAATATATCGCTGCCCAGTGCGTTGATCCGCTCTCCTGTAGTCGTTTCCAAAAGCTCGTCGTTGTCGTGAGCAGCCACTAGCTGCGTAGTAACACACACTTGCGTTAGTGCGGCCTGAAAAAAATTTCGCCGTAATTCCAATTCAAGTGCACGGTGTTCCAAAGAATTGAGTGCCTTGCAGTTCTCGTAATATGTGGACTGCTCGTCACTGGTCTTGTTGTACGTATCTTCAAACACTCTCAACTCCAGCTCGTCAGCGTCAAACCACTGCTTCTCTGTTTCAGCCCGGCAATCGGCCAT